TCGGAATTTAGTCGGCTTACTAAAGCAAAATACGAATAAGCAGTTTTCAGTATCTGAAACAAAACGTAAGCTAGAATTTTTCAGATTTCGTTTTTACCTTTAGAAAAGTGTCCAGTGACAAATCAAATAATCCTAGAGCCGAAATTTTTACTGTGTTTTGGGTTTTCATCAAGAAAAATAAAAAATCGTATTTTGTGTCATAAGAGACTTCTGGCCATCGAGAGTGGAAAGCTTCCACAGCCACTCGTTCACTCTATGTGTAAAAAAAAATAGTTTGTCGAAGAAACTTTTTCGTAATTGAACTTACCTTGACTTGTAGTTCGTTACCAAACCAACAATAAATAAATATTTCCAATAATACAGCACTTCCGTAGAAAAGAAACGCACAAAAATCTGCACCAAGTGGTTCCACCTAAAATATAAATGCAACAAAAATGGAAAAATGGTCACATCAACTTACCACTGTCAGAAGAAACATGGTAAACCCCAAAGACACAGTGCTTGCAAAAAATTGAATGAAAATAATCCAGTTAAAAGCTACATTGTAAGCTTTCACAAATCTGCAACACGAAAGTAATTTTAAATTATTTTTAGAACACACTTCTAACTATACCTGATTATTTCTCGATATCGGTTAACACAAAGCAGAAGTTCTTCTCTGAATCCATCTGGCTCGATATTTCGGAAATCATCACACAAAATATCCAGTTGAGCCCCAGCATACAAGCTAAAAGCGGCTAAAAACGTATCCAGATTTACGTTAATATAAGCCAGAAATAGAATGCTTGCAACTTGATGCAAATAAATAATCTGGTAAAACGGTGAACTGGTAGTGTCAAACGGATACGAAGCTATAAAAGGCAAACGATGTGTTTTCGTAGAACCTGTCAAAATCGGTGTTAAGGCATAGAAAATGACCGCCAAGGTAACACTGCTCCCTAGCAAATTATACATAAATCTCCAAACATTCAAACTTGGAGCGACCAAATTGACTTGTTTGGTGCTTCGAGGCTGAAAAAGATGACTGTTAAGCATCACTAAAAGCTTCTTGAAGGTTTTTATGTTTCGAGCTAGATACGACATTTTAACTACAACCAGTGATTCGGAAACTGACAAGAATGCGGTTCCTGTTATGACCTCCAGGTCGTTTAAGTTCGTCATTAGTTTCCACGTTTGGCAGATGCATTGGGTTGCAGCGAATACAAGGGTGGTGGTGATTCCGTGTAAGAGGTAAAGGTTGAGTTTATAGCCTTTACCGTCGGGCCATAAACCCACAGCTTTAAAGACCAGGAGGTTGAGTCTGATGGTCTGCAGCCAGTTGAATTTATTCATAGTGATAATGGATGAGAAAACACCAGTTTATCAGTGGTATCAATCAATAATAAGTGGTTTTAGATGGTATTTATTCACAAACAAGAGTGAAAATTTTGTGTGATCTTTCGACTTTTATAAGTGGCGGGCGACCAATCAGAATTTTGTGATCGGTTTCTGCGCTGAAGGGATCGACTTGATAATTTATAACTTGAAGTGATGGGGTGTGTTGGTGTAACTTTTTTTCAGTGATAGTTTGTGCTGCAACTTTAATAATGCCATTGTGTTGGAATGTATTAATGGTTTGCAAAAGGAATATTTTTCTATTCAGGTAAATCGAAATATTTTCTATATTGCATTTAAAAAAAAGTCAGTTTTTCGTTTTTAATGTAAAAAACTTAAAGAAACTCAGTTTTTTTTCTCGAGGAATAGCTACTAGATATTTTGATGCAGTCCAGCTTTGATACACATGCAGTATTCATTATGCTTCAGAGGTAATGAAAATTCGGTATAAATAATTTTAGAAGAACTTCATTGTCGAGATACACATTTTTTTTAAAGCTGTACAATTTGGATAATATTTATTTGAAAAAATATGCTTGGGTTTATCCTTAAAATCAACATCATGTTTATATTTTTTCTTGCTAACATTTAACAGATTTAAAATTTTAATCTATTTATTTCAAAAATAATTTCACAATTTTGAAAATGGGCAAAAAATAAGCAATTATCCATTCACACAATTTTTCCTCCTTTCATGTTTTCTCGACGTTTCATGAACCCTAGAGTATGAAAAAATAGAATCCCGTTTCTGTTGGTCTCTCTGTCACTTATCTGTGGCTATCTATATTAGACAAATAATTTCTGAAACTACTGGACTGATTGTCAAATTTTACATATTATATTAAGAATATTGTGTAGATACTAAAACACTAACTAATATTTGTCTAATCATCCCCACTAACAATTTAATGACATCACTTCAAAATTATGCTTAGTAGATGCCATTTCAATTTTTACTTCCCGAGCGTAAGCAAAGGAAGTATTGTAATCGAGTCCGTCGGCCGACTCTCTGCTTTTACGTTTTCTCGATCTTTCATGACCCCTAGAAGACGAAGAAATAGGTCTCCCATTTCCGTCTGTCTGTCCGTCCGTCTGTCCGTCCGTCTGTCCGTTCGTCTGTCCGTCCGTCTGTCCGTCTGTCCGTCCGTCTGTCCGTCCGTCTGTCCGTCTGCCGTCCCGGATTTTTATTAGACAGATAATCTCCGAAAGTACTGGACCGATTGTTGTGAAATTTTGTACTTATATTAGGAATATCATGTAGATGGTAAAACGCTAACCAAAATTTGTCTAATCATCCCCACCACTAATGCGATGACGTCACTTCAAAATTGTACATAGTAAATAGGTCTTAAATTGTATAAAATAACATAGTCCTACACATGTAGTTTACGACTCCGAATTCAGTTTTTACCCGAAACGTCCAGATTTTTGGAAAAAAAATCAAAATTATAAAACAACATTTTGCAATTTAATTTTGAATCTGCTAACCCGAATGTTTTGAAATGTTGCAGATGTTTTAAGGCTCTAAAGAGCATCATAAATCTTTAGTCAAAATATATTTGGTTATCCCCTCCAAAAACTTGATGACGTCAGCTCAAAAGTTTGCCAAATAAATCCTATCTAAAATGTACAAAATATGATGCGTCTGTGCTTGTGATATATCACCCCATTCATATTTTTTGGATTTGCATATACAGGGTGACTCAAAAAAATTAATGAATGCGCAAAATTTATTTTACTGATTTACTCATTAACTACAAAACCGAATGCTTCGAAATCTTGAAGATATTTTAAAGTTATTATAAGCATGGTAAATTTTTTATCAAAATGTATTTGCTCATCCCCCCTAAAAAATTGATGACGTCACCCCAAAAGTTTGCTGAATAAATCCTATCTAAAATGTACAAAATATGATGAGTCTGTACTTGTGGTTTATCATTCCATTCATATTTTTGGATTTGCATATACAGGCTGACTCAAAAAAATTAATGAATGCGTGAATTTATTTGATCAATTTAATCAGGAATTACAAAACCGAATGCTTTGAAATCTTGGAGATATTTTAAAGTTATTATAAGCATGGTAAACTTTTGTTCAAAATGTATTTGTTCATCCCTTCTAAAAAAATTGGTGACGTCACCCTTAAATTTTGCTAAATAAATCCTATCTAAAATGCAGAAAATATGATGAGTTTGTACTTGTGATTTATCATTCCATTCATATTTTTTAGATTTTCTTAAAGGGTGGCTCAAAAAAGTTAATGAAGTCAATTTATTTTATTGATCAAATTAAAGGCAACACTTATTATTAGTATTACATTGGACCAACCCAATTTGGTAGACACAAAATTTTTTAAAGTTAAAACTCGATTGAAACATAGCTGACTAGGTTCCGCGAATGTGGTATAGACATGTTTTAAATCAACCAATGGTGAATTCCACCGTCAAAAATTAAAATAAAATCCAATGTTTTACATAATAAGCGGAAGTCGACGCAATAAAACCGATTGTCGTTTTGTTTACAGTTTCTTTGTTTGACTCTCACGTATGCTGTTACGCCTGTCATCTTAAATTAAAAATGTTTATACATACACGATTTTCAGTTGCCTCTGATATGTATACGTGAGTAAATTGTTTCGTTATTTTATTGATTATTACAAATCAATATTCAAAACGACCCAATTCATTTTCCCGAAAATTTGAGAATATAATAATTTTATTTTTAGTATTACACTACATCTATCCCAACTGATATACGTGTCCTTGCAAAAATGTTGATGACGTCATCGCAATTTTTTTTAAATTCCCACTACAAAAATGTAATGAGAAAAAAAACACAATGGGCATGCAGTCGTCAAGTTTCCGACAGCGAGGGAAGTACTGTCTAAACTCTTTAGACCAATTTTTTTAATTATAATAAATTAGTTTTATTTTGTGCGTTGATTAACATAAAATGTTGAAATTAGAATATGGATTGAACATTTTCTTCTCTATTTATGATTTAATTCTAGTCTTTAAGAGAATAAGATCACGAAACAATTTAACGGTAGCAATATTAAAACATTTTTTAAGCAAGCAAAATATTGATAATTAAATTAAAACTGGCATATTCGTTTCAGAATAAACGCGGTAAAAGCTCTCTCTACTTACAGTCCTTGTTGTGTGCCCGGAATCAGCATAAATCAATATTCTATTTAAACGATGCTTTCAATACTTTTGTATTATTAAATCGTGTGCAGAATTTATTCACTCCTTTATGAATTTTCCCACACACATAAAACAAGAAAATTACTCTCTATAAGTACATTCGATCGAAAATACCTATTGAAACATAGCAAGAATCGTCTTCTTTATTATTTAAAGACACTTTTGCAAGGCGTATAATTAAAAGCAGTTGGCGGTATTTCAATTTCGCTGTGGCAATTAATAAATAATTTCGCTGCAGTCGATATTGGAGACGAGAGCCGCCGCCAACGTCGTGCATTTAAATATTTTTCTTATTAATCAGCAGAGAACCGTCTATTTTTTAAGCTTTAATTTCGTTATCCTTTATCTAATCCTAAATAATTCCTTAATTAAGTACAACAGGATGTGTGTGGATATCTAGAAAGCTTTAAAATATTTTCGTTATTCGATTAACTGGCTCACCAGAGCAAAATAAGACCAGGCGCTTTTTAATATCTTAAAAAATCAGAAATTAGTTGGAATGAATTAGTTTGAATTTTTTACCTTGAGAAAATTTTCCAGCGATAATTCGAACAAGTTTAGAGCTGATACTGTTAAAGGTCTTTGCGCCACCATCATGAAAAAGAGCAACTCTTTGGCATTTTTTCTTGAAGCTTCGACCCAGTTGCATTCATACATCTTAATCGGAACGTTTGTGTTCTAAAAATATTTGTTTTATTACAACCTTGTTAAATATCTTAAGTCCTACCTTCATCTGCACTTCGTTGCCAAACCAACAGTAGATAAGTATTTCTAAAAACGCCGAAGTCCCGTAAAACAAAATTGAATAAAACTCCTTGTTTAGTGGAGACGTCTTGAAAATATTTACTTGTAGATTAATTATTAATCTGACTAAATTCTACTTACAGTCGACATTAAAAACATACTAAATCCGATAGAAATCGCGCTTGCAAAAAATTGCGCGAAGATTGTCCAGTTGAAAGCGTCGTTAAAGCTTCTCGTAAACCTAAAATAAAATCACCACTTAGTATTTAAAAAATGAGACGATATTCACTAACTTTATAATTTCTCGATGATGATTAACACACCTCACTAGTTCCTCTTCGAAATTCTCACCTTCAAGATTCCTCAAATTATCGCTCAAAATGTCAAGCTGCGCTCCCGTGTACATCATAAAAGCAGCAATCAAAGTATCCAAATTCACGTTGACACTCGTTATAAAACAAATACTGAGAGTCTGGTGAACGTACGAAATTTCAAAAAATGGCGAAGTTTTCGCGTTGTATGGATACCAAGACAAAAACGGTAAATTGTGATCCTTGATCGATTTGTCTATGAACGGGACCAGTGACCAAAAAACAATAGCGACGTTGATGGAGCACCACAACATTTTGTACATAAGGTTCCAAAGTTTGAAGCTCGGTGAAGTTAAATCTACTTGTTCCTTATTTTTCGGCTGGAATAAGTCGTCGTCGAGGGTGATTAAAAGTCGTTTGAAGATTTGAACATTTCGGGCTAGATAAAACATCTTCAGGACCACTAGCATTTCCGATATTGATAAAAATGCTATTCCTGTGACGATTTCTACGTCGTTCAGGTTCGTTAGGAGAAGGATGGTTTGGAAAAGTGATTGGGTGAATCCGAAGAGGGTTATAGTGACTAAAGCGTGTGTTGTGTATAAGTTAAAACCGTACTTTTGGGTTCCTTTGGGCCACAGTCCAACGAGTCCTAAGACGAATATGTTCTTTCTGATGATTGCTGTCCAGTTGTATCTCTCCATTTAAATTTAACTTGTCACTTTAACTTTGATATGAAAATACTTCTGCGTTGTTGACTGTGCAGTTTCTAGTTGTTGTCTTGCGATTTCTTGTGGTCGATCGCTTTTATATCCTCGGTGTAAGTAGATCAGCCAATCAGAAAAAATTCCTTGTGTTCTAGTAAAACCTAGATATGAAAATTTGGCACTTGCAAACAATAATTGAAATAGATTTTTGCTTTTCTTTTTTTTTCAATAAAAAAAAGGTGCAAAATTGTCAATTTAGACGATAATTGTGAAGCCACGTACAAGTTTATGCTAATTTTCCCACGGCAAAATAGTCGTAAGATGCAATTAAGTGTAATTAGATTTACATTATTGATGAATTGTTTTCCATTTGCGACTTGTTTCAAGAGCAGGATCATTAATTAATGAAAGCAGTAATTTACAAAGAATCTATAAATGGCCTAGTTCTCATACTTACTTAAATTAAACTAAGTAATTATGTGCTAGTAATATACTTATGTACTATTTTTTTATAAATTTGGTTTTCTGGCAACAAAATAGCCTAAATTATCACAAATATTAAAAATTAAAAAATATTTCTGGTACGTATCACGAGCTTCACTCGCTTAGCTATTTTGTGTAGGTATTTGAATTTGGTTTCCCATGTACAGTAATTTCTTAAAGCTATAATTTTATTTAATTTTTCTTTTGAAAATAATAAAACCATCAAGGTTTAAATAAATTCTAATTAGTGTGTAAAATTTCAAGCCAATCAGATTAAATCTTTAAAAACTTAATTATACAATTTTAGTGATTATTTCTGGGACAGAGCCAAAGAACTAAATGGATACTTACATGTTTTTTCGACGTTTAATGACTCGTATAGTATGAAAAAATAGGTTGTTGTCTACTTGACGTTTGTGTCGATTTTTTTTAAACATAATTATAATCTCGGAAATAACAGGGGTGATTGTTTCCAAATTTTATATGTATATTAGAAATATTATGTGGATGTTAAAAGCCCAAAAATATCACGTGTTTATGGCCAGAGACCAATTTTTGAAATTTTTGGTTTTAAAGTATAAATTTTTAAAATTTCCAAAAATTGCGATATTTCAGTAGGCGATTTTGGAAAAAAGGTTGGAAGAAACGAAGCCGGAAATGGCTTCTAGAGCTCATGTGTTTGGGTAAATTTTGAAAATGGTCGAAGATGGGCCGAAATTTTGGAAAATTTTACTTTTGAAAAAGGTGTCTAAAAATTCACAAAAAATTCTGGGATGTAGACTTCGATGTGCTGATTCCAAAAACATAGCGTGTTTCTATTCATGGAGCAACAATTTCGAAATATCGGGTTTTAAAATTAAATTTTCTAAAAATTTCAAAAATTGCGATAATTAAATATGCGATTCTGAAAAATCGGTTGGAGTTACCGAAGTGAGAAATGAATTTAGAGCTCGAAATCTACAAGAAAATGGATTTAGTTAAGTTTGGAAAATAGTCGAAAATGGGTTGAAATTTAAAGTATTGGAAAAATTTCACTTTTGAAAAAGTTGTCTAAAAATCCACAAAAAATTCTGGGATATAGATTTCAACATACTCATTCCAAAAATATCGTGTGTTTATTGTCAGGGAGTAATATTTTGGAAATATTCAGTATTAAATTCGAATTTGTTAAAAATTTTATAAATTGCCAAATTTCAGTGGACGATTCTGGGAAGACGGTTGGAGTTATCAAAGAAACGAGCTCGGAAAGGACTTCTAGAATTCGAAATCTACAATAAGATGTTTTGACTTAAGTTTCGAAAATGGTCAAAAATGGGTCGAAATTTGGAAGGGAAGTTTTGGAAAATTTTCATTTTTGAAAAAGGTGTCCAAAAATTCACAAAAATTGTGGGATATAGACATCGATGTGCTGATTCCAAAAATATAGCGTGTTTATGTTCATGGAGCAACAATTTCGAAATATCGGGTTTTAAAATTAAATTTTCTTAAAATTTCAAAAATTGCGATAATTAAATATGCGATTCTGAGAAAGCGGTTGGAGTTATCGAAGTGGGAAACGAATATATAGCTCGAAATCTACAAGAAAATCGATTTGGTTAAGTTTGGAAAATAGTCGAAAATGGGTTGAAATTTGAAGATTTGAAAAAGCTTCACTTTTGGAAAAGTTTTCGAAAAATCCACAAAAAATTCTGGGATATAGATCTCAACGTACTCATTCCAAAAATATAGTGTGTTGATTGTCTGGGAGTAATATTTTCGAAATATTCAGTATTAAATTCGAATTTGTTAAAAATTTCAAAAATTGCCAAATTTCAATGGACGATTCCGGGATGACGGTTGGAGTTATCAAAGAAACGAGCCCGGAAAGAACTTCTAGAGTTCGAAATCTACAATAAGATGTTTTTTCTTAAGTTTCGAAAATGGTCAAAAATGGGTCGAAATTTGGAGGGGAAGTTTTGGAAAATTTTCATTATTCAAAAAGGTGTCTAAAAATTCACCAAAATTCTGGGATATAGACCTCGATGTGGTGATTCCAAAAATATAGCGTGCTTATATTCATGGAGCAACAATTTCAAAATATCTTGTTTTAAAATTAAATTTTCTTAAAATTTCAAAAATTGCGATAATTAAACATGCGATTCTGAAAAATCACTTGGAGTTACCGAAGTGGGAAATGAATTTAGAGCTTGAAATTTACAAGAAAATGGATTTAGTTAAGTTTGGAAAATAGTCGGAAACGGGTTGAAATTTGAAGTATTGGAAAAATTTCACTTTTGAAAAAGTTGTCTAAAAATCCACAAAAAATTCTGGGATATAGATTTCAACGCACTCATTCCAAAAATATTGTGTGTTTATTGTCAGGGAGTAATATTTTCGAAATATTCAGTTTTAAACTCAAATTAAAAAAAAAATCAAAAATTGCGATAATTAAATGTGCGATTCTGGAAAAACGATTGGAGTTACCGAAGGAACGACGCAGGAATTGAATTTTAGAGTTCAAAATCTACAAGAAAATGTATTTAGTTAAGTTTCGAAAATGGTCAAAAATGGGTTGAAATTTAAAGAATGGGAAAGTTTTGGAAAAGTTTCACTTTCATAAAAGTTGTCCAAAAATCCACAAAAAATTCTGGGATATGAATCTCGATGTGCTGATTCTAAAAATATGGCGTGTTGGTGGTCATGGACTAACATTTTCGAAATATTAGGTTTTAAAATAATTTTTTTTAAAAATTCCAAAAATTGCGATAATTAAATGTGCGATTTTGGAAAAACGATTGGAGTTACCGAAGAAACGACGCAGGAAATGAATTTTAGAGTTCAAAATCTACAAGAAAATTTATTTAGTTAAGTTTCGAAAATGGTCAAAAATGGGTTGAAATTTAAAGAATGGGAGTTTTGGAAAAGTTTCACTTTTGAAAAAGTTGTCCAAAAATCTACAAAAATTTCTAGGATATAGATTTCAATGTGTTCATTCCAAAAATATAGTACGTCTATTGTTACAGAGCAATATTTTCGAAATATTCAGTTTTAAAGTCAAATTTTTTAAAATTTAAAAATTTGCAATATTTTAATGAACGATTCTGGGATGACAGTTAGAGCTATCAAAGAAACGAGCCTAGAAATAACTTCTAGAGCTCAAAATGTAGAAGAAAATGTCTTCACTTAAGTTTCGAAAATGATTAAAATGGGTCGAAATTTGGAGGCGGAAGTTTTGGAAAAATTTCGCTTTTGAAAACGTTGCCTAAAAATCTTCAAAAAATTTTGCTGGATGTGCTGATTCCAGAAATATAGCGTATTTATTGTCATGGAGCAACGTTTTCGAAATATTACGTTTTAAATTGAAATTTTTCAAAAATTCCAAAAATTGCGATAATTAAATGTGCGATTCTGGAAAAACGGTTGGAGTCATCAAAGAAACGAAACCGGAAATGAATTTTAAAGCTCGAAATCTACAAAAAAAATGTATTTAGTTAAGTTTCGAAAAACGTGCTGATTTCAAAAATATAGAGTACTTGTTGTCACGGGCAATATTTTCGAAATATTCGGTTTTGAAATCAAATTTTTTTAATAATGGGCCATTCTTAAAAAACGGTTGGAGGAATCCAAGAAACGAGGCCGAAAATGGATTTTAGAGCTCCAAACGTACAAGACAAAGTATTTATTTCAGTTTCGAAAATGATCGAAAATGGGTCGAAATTTGAAGAAAAGGAGGAATTGTATAATTTTTTTTTTTCGAAAATTCGTCTAAAAATACACAAAAATTCTGGAATAATGTAGATCTTGACGTGCTGATTCTAAAAATATAGCGGGTTTATTTATGGTCACGGAACAATGTTTTCCAAATATTCGGTATATACCTCATTTTTTTAATTCCAAAAATTGGGAGATTTCAATGGGCGATTCTGGGAAAAAATATTGAAGAAGCCACTTTCGATCATTTTCGAGAAATAAAATCCTCAAAGTAAAATTTTCTAATTTTTCGAAGCTGCATTTTTTGACTGGACTTAAGGAGCGGGGGAAAAAAATTTCATTTTTGATAAAGTTGTTTAAAATCGGCAAAAAATTCTCAGATATAGATCTTAACGTGTTGATTCTAAAAATGTAGGGTGTTTATTGTCATGGACAATATTTTCGAAATATTGGGTTTTGAAATAATTTTTTTTTTTAATTTCAAAAATTGTAACATTTCAATGGGCGATTCTGAAAAAATAATTGGACGAATCGAAAAAGCGAGACCGAAAGTGGCTTTTAGATTTCCAAACACACAAGACAATGTATTTATTTAAGTTTCGAAAATAGTCGAAAATGGGTCAAAATTTGAAGAGAAGGAAGAATTGTAAAAATTTCTGTTTTAAAACAATTGTCTAAAAATTCACAAAAATTCTGGGATAATGTAGATCTCCACGTGCTGATTCCAAAAATGTAGCGTGTTTATTGTCATGGAAAATATTTTCGAAATATTCGGTTTTGAAATCAAATTTTTTTTTAATTTCAATAATTGGAACATTTTAATG